TTTTTAATATAAATAATATATAAAAGGCCTATGCTGGCTATACAACTTTTAAAAGGAAATGCGGGTGGTCTTTTTTCCATACAAACGCTCTCGCCTGTTTTCTTTCTTGTTTATGACCTTATAGCAATGGGTTTTTACAGTAAAATAAATATGAACTATTTCTATGTGCCTATGTTTTCCTTTTTGATGATACATTATCTTTATAAGCAATATATGTAGAACCCTTACAAAATGCTCAAAATTGCCTATTTAGAGCGCTGTCAACAGAGGCCTAGTGTTCAAATTTGATAACTAAGACAGAAAAATAAAACGTAGGGAGACACAGTTTATATTCTGCTTATTCAGTTTATGAAATATCTTTTTTAAAATTGGTCCAATATTGGAGAAGAAAATGGTAGAGAACCTAAAAACATAGGCCTCCCCCTAGGAATGCCACAAAGCACGGTCCTGAGCCACCTGCATCCATCGACTTCCTGCATATCTTACCAGGTCGTCACTCCATCTAGTGGGGGGGGGGGGGGGGTCGCCCTACACTTCGTCCGCCGGTACGAGGCCGCCACTCGAGAACCTTTCGAGAACTCGAGAACCTCGAATTATGCCTTTTTACTTAGGCTATTCAGTCGGATCTGGAGTTGTCCTTATCGGACGCCGAGCGCTCGTAGAGTGACAGCGAGTTTCTTCAAATAGCTAATTTTCAAGTCTCTCTGCCCGCATTTCCTCTTAAATCGATCAAACTGTTTAGTCTAGTTGTGTGCTTGTGAAAATTTTATGATTTATTTGTTTAATTGATTGCAGTATGTCAGTTTTGATTGACCGTGAGACGTAATGAAACGACGGTCGAGCAAACACTTGCTCCATTATTTTAACCGCGCCTATATACAGTAGTCGATCCACTCGTTATCGATTTACTAGTTTTCTCATTTTTTTTAATACTAGCAATGCTATTAACATTACTAATTGTCTATTTAACCTCTCCTGGTAAATTTAAAATGCTTTTATTAGGAGTGGCTTACGAAAGTAGTCGAAAGACGGATACAAACTCGACCTTTGAGTTCGTGGTCTACAACCCTGCCATTAGGCTACTGTTGGTTAAAGGCCGATCATACTGCAGCACTCTATTATACTTAATAGTTACAACTTTCATTATTAATAAGAAACTATTCACTTGTGTAATAATAAATATGTAAGGTATGTGGGTAAATACATAAAATAATTTCTGATCGACTGTTTAGTTGATTATATGCGCCTCCTAATACATGGTAATTTACATCGATGTAGTTTTACGATTTTTTTGTCGAGTAAATATCGAGTTAATAATATGCGAGACCTCTATACATTCCCATAGACTTTTCACATCCCACTAAACAGTTGTTCGATTAAAAATTGTATGCATGCGCCGAGTCTAGCGTATAGAAATGTACAGAGTTTTAGTCATTTTAAAATTGACAATGTCAAAATAATGTATTGATCTCTGCATCTTTAGTTAAGTGACACACGACCTTATTACAAAACCTAATTTATTAATAGTCTTGGGTTTAAATTATGAAACAGAAACAGAAACAAACTTTTTATTCAATATAGATTATAAATAATACTTATTGAAAGTCACTCTTTTATTTAATTACTACTGGTTCGAAAAAAAAACTCTGTCCTGGGAAGAACCAGCAAAAAACCCAGCGGGACTTTTTTTTAAATCGTGTATGTTACACAATTAACAACACAACAAATTACAAATAGCTTGGTAGCGATCACCTCATTCCCAAGGGTTATTATCATCCATAAATTCCTTAATATTATAATAACCCTTTAACTTAGTTTAATAAAGTTTTTGAACTTTGAGCAGGTCAAATTTTGTATATTTTCTGGAATTTTGTTGTAAAAGCGTATATACAACGCCCCAAGAAAGAATTAGGTACTGATTCGGTGGAGTCGAGTAACTGGTACTACTAGCTCGTGTCTTTTCCTAGTATTTACAGAATGAATATCACTTATTTTTGTAAAACTACTTTTATTTTTGTGTACGTACATTATATTTTCATAAATGTATGACTTAAGAAGTCCCTTTGCTGCGGCGCAGTCTTCACTTTATTAGACATTTGCTGCCAAATTCATTTATCGCATACTTCTTCTTCATTGGAACAGACTCTAGTTTAATCCTGAAGAATTATAAACTAGGTACTTTTTGTAATAAGACGACATTTGATTAATAGCTAATTGTAGATTTTTTGATGTTAAGTAAAGATTTGTAAATTAAAACACTTTTTATTACTTAGATTAAAGCGTTGGTGGAGAACGTGCGGCAAGACGGGACGTGTAGCATACCTATGTTTAGTTTAGCATACATTTCCAGACACTGTGATGTGAAAACGTGTGTTTGTCATACAAGCTGAACGCCCCGCCCCGCTGCACGCTCTTCACTGGAGCTTTACGAATACGTTACCAAAAAGGAGATGTGAAAATGTCAAAGTGTCGAACAACGTACCTGATTCGGATTTCCTTATTAGAATAATCACTTGGGAAGATATCTGGGATGTAAGATATTTGGAGAATAGGTTAAAATAAAATGATCTATATTGCTTTCGCACTGTGCCCGATCAACCGAGCTGGTCCGAGACAGACAACTGTAGTTCGGATTGCTCGTATATTTATAAAAAAAAAATTACGAAATCATCACTCGTATTCCCCTGTTTCCTCCTCCAAAACAGATTTTTTTAAAACTAAATATAAAGGCTATGTCTGTATGCTTTTCTATAATTTTTTATGTTCCTTTAATTTGTTTTCTGCATGCCAAATAACGCCGGTAACTGCGCAATATTAGTAATTTTAAAAGGTTTTGTAGTTTTTAAATTAATGAACCTATGTAAAGAATAAAACGTAGGAGCATGGTAGTGGTAGATATAGATTTTATCGTACAAAAATATTTGTTCTAATATCACTTCACTATTCAGAGGGCGGAAACAGAGGAATATGTTTGCAAATATCGTCCTGATATCCTCTAGGAACGAAGTGAGTTAGTGAAATTTTATTAAAAAACGTGTAAATTTAAATGAGTAGGTGCCGAAATATATAAAAATACTTAATATTTTCTGTTATTCTAAGAACTAAATATGATCTCTTTATTAGGAGGAAAATTTAAAATCGTTAAAGATATTGTCTACCTTTTAAATTTTACCACTCATTGTTTCTTAAAGAAATCTTCTGAAGAAAAAATTTATAAAATATTGGCCACCCATTTCAAAAACGGTTCGATTTAAATCACAAACTAGCCTTGTTAAACTGAAAGTATTTTTTTATTAGGGCAACGTAATATAATATGTATTAAATAAATGGTCAATGGTCTGACCAATAACTATGCATGTATAAACAATAATTAATGTTTTTTTAGTATTATTATTATTATTTAAAGATAAAGGTATTCATTGATAATAAGTAAAGCATACAAGTCTCCGCAAGTTTTACCAAAACGTGATAGAATGAAATATTTATTTTTATATAAACTTTTTCCTTTATTGTACATATACTATCAAACGTTGTGTTTTGTGTTGATTATTAAAATCTTAATAAATTATTGAAATCTAATGATTGTTTTTTATTTTACTTTTAAAATAGAAAAATTAAAATTATAACAATAAAAATAAAAATAACTATAAACGTCCTACTGCTGTCACAAATCGCACATTTTTGTTTGCGAGAGATGCTAGTTGCAATCATTAATCGTGATAGTCAGGTAAGCCAGCAAATGTACCAAACTAGATAGGGGTGTTAGATGACACAATACTACGTAGTATGAAAACCGCTGCTGAACATAGATCATCTCTTCATCACCCAACATTTGTCATAGCTGCCATGCATGATGCATCGGGTTGGCAACTGCAGTTTTATTATTAGTTGTTATATGGAAGACGCTGCTGCCAATCTCTTCATTTGTTTCCCTCTGTCGCCTTTTACGACACCCACGGTTCGATATGGGGTAGTGGTTATTCGCACACCACCACAACACGGTCAACGATAACTTGACATCGACAGGCTAAAATATTTTAATTTTATTCTAAAATAGCTAGTTTATTTAAACCGATTCTTCTGAACGTCATACAGCTTTAAACTATCGCTTTAAAGATAAAATAATCAAAACGTAGTGATTATATGCAACAACAATTGTGTTCTGTGTAAGGAATATACTACCTACTAGACATGGGACGAGTACTCGGTTTGGATTCGGTACTCGGCGGATTCGGCCTTCTTTTAGGGTTCGGCCGAGCACCGAGTATTAACGGCCGGTATCGAGTACTCAGCCTTAATTATATTCCATAGAAAAATAAAAGACAAAAAGCCAGTTTTTATCATTATTATTATATTAGACACATTAAAACATCAGGAACATGAGAAGCAGCAGAAATATTTAGAACGTACATAAGAATCTATAATAGAAATTATTGTTACTAATATTTAAAAATTAAGAGAGGTAGATTGTGATGCAAAAAAACTAGTTTTTCTATTCTATTTGGGTCTAGTTTGTAAGGGAAATAACCGCACACCGCCCGCTACCCCGTTTTTTTTAAAGCCGAGTATTCGGCAGAGTACTCGGCCCAATCTAGACCGAATACCCGGTGGCCGAGTACTCGGAGAATCACTACTCGTTCCATGTCTACTACCTACTACATATTATTAATCTATATAAATCCATGTACTCTTTTCTAAACGTAGTGATTATATACTCTTTGTTATTTTCTACCGAAAGAATAACACTAGGTAACACTCATGGAAATACATGTACTTCGTGGTAACACTTAAACTTCACTCACAGAGTACTTTTTATAAACTGTCACTAAACTTAAACACACGGTATCAAGGTTAATACAAATTGAAAGATAATCATTATTATACTAATCTCTTTGTAATCAAAAGCTCTTAAATATATTTCATACACAAGTAATTTAATATTTTCTGAAAGGCCTTAGACTAATCATTGAAATAAAACTGTTGTTTTGACGTATATAATAATGCAGAAAAGAATAGAAGATATTGAAGCCATGTTATTTGATGGAGGGACAACCAACCGAATTGATTTCCGTAATGTTAAGATTAGAGAAACAGCTATTGTTAATAAAGAAAAGCCAAACTATGTAAGGCTTAAAGCCAGGACATCACCACTGAAAAATGTGCACACGTTGACAGATTGGAAGGGAGGTGCAGTGCCTTTTAGTCTTGCACACTTCCGAAAGGATATAATTCGAACATGTCCAAATATAACATTAGAGGAACCTGTAAGTTGTAGATGAATAGCATAACTATTGCTCGTAAAGTTATTTACTTAGTTATGAATATCAACAATTTTTGAATTCCCATAGTAAGTGAATATAATCTCAATTTTATATAGATTACTTTTTCATTTCAACTCAAAGGGACCGATACGACTAAGGAACCTTCAAGAAAAGAGCCTACTCTTTTTTAAAAGGCCGGCAACGCATCTGCAATTCCCCTGGTGTTGCGGTTGTTGTTTGGCGGCAAGTAGTCACTTACCGTCAGGTGAGTCGCATGCTCGTTTACCCCTTCTCATATTATAAAAGAAGCATGTTTCCGAATAAAAATTAGAAACTATTATCCACGCAGATTTTAGTTTACACACCTAATCACGCTGAGTGAGTTTGGGCTTCCTAATACGGCCAGCGGTGAAGGACCACGCCTCATATCCATACTATCACCTCCAACAACACTGGTAGTACACTCTGGTTTTCAAGTTTTGAGGAATACGTGAATGCTGCCGAACGCTGACAAACAGAGTTGGGTCGTTCGATTGGCTCTTATTCGAAGTAGACCTTATATAGTCGGTCAATTTGCCCCAGATAAACTTATTCATCAATAACTCCGATTACAGTGTACCGAACAATTACCGGCATAGGCACAACCGTAATAGAAAGAGCGCGGACCGCGAACTCGAAAGGTCGTGGGTTCGAACCCGCCATTCGACTACTGTCGTGAACCATTTCTAACTCAAGCATTTTAAGCTTACCAGAAGTGGTTAAAGGGAATATTAGTAATGTTTAATAACATTACTAGTATTTAAAAAAAAAAAGAAAGAAAGAAAGAAACTAAGTATAATTATTTTATAAAGCATAATATTGTGCGAAATAATCTAAAGAAAGGTGTTATGTTATTCTAGAAAGTAGAGGACTGTATAGTCAGTCCGACATAACAGAAAACCAAAAGCAAATATTGGCTTTTATAGCCACAAAAAAAGTAAAATAGCAATCACCAAAAGACAATCAAATGCACATTATATTCGAGTTCGAAGTTCACTCTTCAATCTTATACCGAACAGTTTTAGCATTGTCGCACATACTAATTATTTTACGTGGACACCTTAACACTTAGCACCTGCGCCTTTTATGCACAATATATAATTCTTTGCGTTTCCTATTTTTAAATATTAGAGTGACCGACGGTTTACTTGATGGTAAATAGTGACTGCATCCCTTGGACACCCAACCACAAACAAAGAATGCCACAGATGCGTTGTCACGACATGGAGACCAAAATCAAATACCTCACTGTCTGTATGTGGACATCTTCAAACTGGAACACAGCCGGGCGAAAAATAGTATTTCATTATTACTACGTGGTATTTCATTATAAAAACTTAATTATTTCAATGTTGTTAATTGTTAAACTTAAGGTTCAGGACAACAGGTCTAATAAGGAGGAGGAGCAGGTTCGATGGACGCGTCCTCGTGTAGTTATGACTCCAGCTGTCAGTATCGACGACGTAGCAGACCAGCATGTGCGACAGATTTTGTTGGACGACGTATACACTAGCACTACTCGTCGAACGTACAAAGAATCAAAGACAAGCTGTCATAATGTAAAAGCACCATTGCCTTTACGCCTCGCGCCTACTAACCCCGTAAGTGTAGCACTCAGTAGTAGAACAATCTTCTATATATAAAAATCAATCGCTGTCCCTTGGTCTCGCAAAGATTCGAAAATGGCTGGACCGATTTTGATGAAATTTGGACCCTGGATGATCTAATTCTAAACGATTCACAATTTGACCCGGTAGGTGGCGCTGTTTTCGAGATCCAGAAATCACTTGTGCGAAGCCGAGGCGGATCACTATTTAAATATAAAATGCAAAATTAAAAATTTTGAAAATGCCCACGACGTATATAAGAATTGTATTCGAAAAAGGATTAAATTAAAATTTTAAAAACCCCCGACTAAGAGGAAGTAAGTTACGAAAGAAAAAAAGAAAAGCGTTTTAAAAAGGGTTGATTTCTCGCGAGGTCTGTCATAATATACAACTAACTATGACTTTCCTTAGTTCTTCCTACCTTTGTGTACCTTTTTGTTTATTGTAGCGATAAATACAGCAATAACATCAAATACTTATATGCATGTACTACACGTATTCATCTACCTATTAGGCAATATAATTACAAACCCAAGTAAATCCGTCGGGACTGCCGATGCCATATTCTCAATTTCATTATAGAAAAGCTGAGAGATGTAGCAATTTATATCAATTAAAGATTACATTTATTTACTTACCCAACGTAATTTCAATTAGTCATAAACTTATAAAAATGCAAAATTTTAGTTTATTTCAGGGCATGGAATGGCAGCCCCGACGGATTTACTTGAGTTTGTAATTATAATACCAAATAGGTAGGTGAATATGTGTAGTACATACATACATTTTATGTTATTGTTGTGTTTGTCGCTACGATAAACATAAAGGTACACAAAGGTGTAAGGTGGGTGTAAGGGGCTCCGCTAAGATCTTGGAGCCCAAGCCAACCCCGCCTGCACGTGGCGCACCTGCTGGACAACGGAAAGGGCTCTGGCGATGCCACTCCTCTGGGATTCGTCCTAGAGGTTCGGAGGTCAGACGGCAGTCGCCCCGGTATTTGGCACTAAGCCACCCAAAAATGGAAAGTAAAAGAAAGAGATATACGTTTAGGACTAGGGCGTCGCCGCATAACGACGCGCATGGGGATCGCCTTAACCCTGCGACAAGTATGCGAGGGCTACCGAGCCCCGTGCGAGCCCGGCTAAAGACGTTAGCACCAACTACGAAGATTCGCTTTGCAAACTGGAACATTGGCACGCTTACGGGACGCTCCGCAGAATTTGCGGCCATACTTGCCAGGCGTAAAGTGGCAGTGGCATTCCTGCAGGAGACACGGTGGAAGGCCAACAGGAGCCGGAATATTGGGCACGGCTACAAGCTGATCTATACAGGCTCTTCTAGTGGGGAGAACGGTGTGGCAGTGGTGCTCGCCGAGCATTTCCACGATAGCGTCTTGGAAGTTAGACGCATATGCGACCGACTTATGGTAGTAATGTTGCTTATTGAGGGGGTCGTGACCCACTTAATAAGTGCCTACGCCCCACAGGTCGGCTGCAGCGACGCGGATAAGACGCTGTTTTGGGATCGGCTCGGATATGTACTACACGGCATACCGTTGTTCCACGATGTCGTTTTAGGTGGCGACCTGAACGGTCATGTGGGCGAGGTGCAGGGGGAGTATGAACGTGTCCACGGCGGCTATGGTTACGGCCGAAGAAACGCAGAGGGGGAAACCATTCTCAGAACCTGCACTGCAGCTGACCTGGCCGTGGTGAACACGTTCTTCAAAAAGAAAACAGAGCACCTGATTACCTACAGGAGCGGTCGGAACGCCACTCAAATCGACTATCTACTGACCAGGAGAAGTCATATCAGTCGCGTGGCCAACTGTAAGGTCATACCCGGTGAGTGTCTCACTGCCCAACACCGACTTCTTGTCATGGACTTCTGCGTAAAACCCCGTCGCAGACACGCCGAACGTTGCCGCCGTCAGATCAAGTGGTGGCTTCTGGAGCAAACCAGATACTCAGAGTTTGACTCTGCCGCTGGGTATTAGTCTCGACACAGCAGGCAAGTCCGTCCAAGAGTGCTGGAAAACCATTCAGACAACAATCACAAAGACGGCAAAGCAAGTTCTCAGCGTGGCGAAAGGGGGCCGCAAAATCGACAAGGAGACCTGGTAGTGGGACGCCACAGTCCAGGGTTCATTACGGGAGAAGAAAGCGATCTTCAAGACGTGGCAAGCGACCAAATCTCCTGAAGATCGCGTATCTTACAAGACAGCGAAAAGAGCTGCCAAGAAAGCTGTAGCCAGAGCCAGGTGTGACCACTTGCAACCATTATATGCTAAGTTGGCCACTCCTGAGGGGCACAAGCTCATATATAAACTGGTGCGCTCTAGGGCCAAAGCAGCGCAAGATATTACTCGCTGCTGCAGCGTCAACGGCCCTAATGGCGAGCTCCTGTACGATGATCGTGCGGTGAAGGAGAGATGGCGCTCTTATTTCCACGTTTTGCTGTCGGACCGGACGAGGTGCCAATTGAAGCGTGGAAAGCGCTGGGGGCTCGTGGTGTGTGCATTCTTACTAACCTTTATAATAGAATCCTGAGCGATCGAATAATGCCCGATCAGTGGCGGCTTAGTATAATAACGCCGGTCCACAAGGGTAAAGGGTCCGTTCAGGATTGCGGTAATTACCGCGGTATAAAGGTGATGCCACACACCATGAAGCTCTGCGAGCGCATTATTGACACCAGGATCCGACAGGAGTGTACAGTGTCGGACTCCCAGTACGGTTTCCAACCAGGACGTGGTACCATGGACCCTATATTCGCCCTAAGGATCCTCATGGAGAAGCACAGGGAAAAGAATATGCCTCTGCATTTTTTATTCCTAGACCTGCAGAAAGCCTTTGACTGTGTTCCTAGGGAGATGATCTGGTGGGCGTTGCGGCCAAAGTATTGGTACCAGAGACCTACGTGGAAATCGTACGTGACATGTACCGCAACTCCGATTCAATAGTCAGAACCGCTGTTGGTGATACCACCCCCTTCCCCATAACCGTAGGGGTGCATCAGGGCTCCGTCTTAAGCCCCTATTTCTTCTGTGTGATATTAGACGAACTGTCAGCCAGTGTACAGAAACTATCGCAGCCTTGGCTACTTATGTACGCTGATGATATCGCACTGGTAGATGGGGACAAAGGACGGCTAACCAGACGCGTGCACGCATGGAGGGAGGCGCTTGAGAACGGCGGGCTGAAGCTAAACGTGGCGAAGACGGAGTATCTGGCCTGCAACAGCACAGATCTGACGTCTCTCCGTATAGGCGACGACACCGTCGAGCACACGGACAACTTCAAGTACCTCGGATCTGTGCTTGATGCGTCCGGGGACATCGATCGCGACATCAAGGCCTGTATATCAACGGCTTGGGCGAAATGGCGCAAGGTGACGGGTGTCATTTGCGACCCCAAAATGCCGGTCAAGCTGAAGGGACAGGTCTATAAGACCATCATAAGGCCTGTCCTTACGTACGGCAGTGAGGCGTGGCCGGTGCTGGAGCGACACCAGCAGTTGTTGCATGTCACGGAGATGAACATGCTACGGTGGATGTGTGGCATCACACGGAAAGACCGTGTACGGAATACATACATCTGCGGCAGCCCCCATGTCCGTGACATTGCTGACAAGCTGCAGGGAAGTCACCTCCGCTGGTACGGTCACGTCTTACGACGACCGGCAAGCTACGTGGGAAACAAATGCCTGGACATGACTCTACCTGGTACCAGGAGTAGAGGACGGCCCAAGAAACGCTGGCTTGATGTCGTGCAGGATGACATGCGCGCCAATGGGCTAGTTGTGAGGGACGCCGAAGACTGGGCAAAGTGGAGGAGGAAGTGTAGGAAAGCGGACCCTGGGTTCTCCCGCGCTGGGCGGGATGAGCAACCGGGATAAACGCTAGGTAGAAGAAGAAGACACAAAGGTAGGAAGAATTAAGTAAAGTCATAATTACTTAATTGTTTCATGTAATAATAATTTAAGCTTGACATTTAATTGTTATAATTATAATAATAGAATTAATTTAATAGACATAAATAATTTAATTAAGAAATTTTTGACTAGAGATAGGTATTACATATCTGAATATAATTTAAGACAGATAGCAAATGTGCTATCTTATTGTACATATATTAACTCAGCCAAAGACTTGGCTACACTGACATCTGCTTCTTTTGAGCAGTATAATAGTCCGAGAGCTCATGACGCATTTTTCATGAAGTGTTTGATGCATCATGAAACTTTGTTTAAAGGTATCAGTCGACTCAATAAGCAGGTATATGACTGTCTGCCTGGCCTACCTGGGTACACCTGGTACTGCGCATACAGTTAAGTCGAAAAAAAATTTGCCCAAAAAAAGTGTTTGATTCAAATAATAATAATGACTATCCGTTAGCTAAGTTTATAAACAATTAAGAAAAAAAATGGCAGACACTTCTGAAGGGGTTTACATAGGGGCAGACGACCACAAAGTTGTATTTTCAAAAATTCCAAAAAAAGTGTTTGATTCAGTCTGCCATTTTTACAGCGTGTTTATTATGTATAATAAAATATTCTCACAAAAAGGCAGACAGTTTCTCCGGGGGTTACTAATTTAAAAATCTATACAAATAAATAAAATTTAAATGTCTGTTTTTAATTTCAAAATAACCATTTTTTACTAAACGCATAAGAGATTATATACGATATTTATAACAAAAACACAATTTTTAAAATTTTTGTCTGTCTGTTTGTTCCGACTAATCTCCGAAATGGCTGGACCGATTTTGACGGGACTTTCACTGGCAGATAATTGATGTTATAACGAGTATTTTAGGCTGCTTTTAAATTTAAAAAAAAATATTAGGGTACCGCGCAAAAAAAATAAAACCCTAAATTACATGCGGGCGAAGTCGCGGGGAACAGCTTTTTATTTTATCAGCAGCTATTTAAATAATCTTAAAAAAGTATAATTATTTTCATGTTTGTCAATTGGAATCGGATTCTGCTGTCAATGTACTTATCAAATCATGTGATACAGATGTATTAATTATTATGATAGGAAATATGGACCATTTAAAAAGTGATTATTTATTTGTATAGATTTTTAAATTAGTAACCCTCGGAGAAACTGTCTGCCTTTTTGTGGGAATATTTTATTATACATAATAAACACGCTGTAAAAATGGCAGACTGAATCAAACACTTTTTTTGGAATTTTTGAAAATACAACTTTGTGGTCGTCTGCCCCTATGTAAACCCCTTCAGAAGTGTCTGCCATTTTTTTTCTTAATTGTTTATAAACTTAGCTAACGGATAGTCATTATTATTATTTGAATCAAACACTTTTTTTTGGGCAAATTTTTTTTCGACTTAACTGTATGCGCAGTACCAGGTGTACCCAGGTAGGCCAGGCAGACAGTCATATACCTGCTTATTGAGTCGACTGATACCTTTAAACAAAGTTTCATGATGCATCAAACACTTCATGAAAAATGCGTCATGAGCTCTCGGACCATAATGACTTAATATGTAATTTGGAATCAGTTCCAAGTAATTTAAATTAGAAAATGAGACAATAGAGGTAATCTCTAGCAGTTATAATAATTTAAATAATTTAGAATGTAGCTTACAAATCTTTAATTGTATGACTCCACAGAGTGATAATGAAAATTGTTTACACCTGGTGCATTAAAATATACAAGGCATGATAGGCAAAGAGCTAGAGATTGAGTTGTTCTTAAATAGCAACAATATTCATATTTTATGTATTACTGAACATTGGTTAAAAGCTTACAACTTAATTTTTAACTTCAGTAATCACTAAGTGCTCAGTTCTTTCAATAGAGAAACGGTTTTAAGAGGTGGCTCCTCGTGATGGTGGAGTGCTAAGAGGTATTAGCTAGTAAATTATTATCATGTAAAGAACGTAAAGATAAATTGTGAGCCTCTCTGTTGTGCGAACTGTAGAAATGGCATGTGTTGAGCTTGAGCACCTCATTTTTGTGAGCGTCTACAGACCCCATGTTCTATATACGATACTTTTGAAAAAATTATGGAGGAAGTTTTTGCTAAGCTTAATAAACAGAATAAATCTGTTGTAATATGTGGAGACTTTAATATCAATCTCCTAGAAGCTTCCTGCATCAATATTACATTTAGATCATTGTTTAAATCATATGGTCTTTTCAATTTATTTTTAGAGCCAACTCGTATTGCTCAATCGAATGCAACATGTATAGATAACATTTTTACAAATGTGAAGCCGTTGCATAATGTATAATTCAAAGATTAAGTTCTGATCACTGTGGACAAGTAGTCTTGTTACCTTATGTTCATAAAAATCAAGTAGATGAGAAAGTTTTGTTTGTTCCAGTAAATGCACGTCGCTTGGAGAAATTTAGAAGTAACATATTGAAAAAACTTCCATCACTTTCATACCAAAATGATCCTATTTTTTTATATGGAACATTATTTAAGCTTATTTGCAATGAATTTAATAATACTTTTACTTCTAAAATATTCTCCTTGAACAGTTGGAAGTCATTCAATGAATGGGCGACAGTAGGAGTCCATAAGAGCAGACATTGGTTATATGATTTTTACCACGAAAGATCATATAATCATAGCGTCGAATTTTGGGAATATGTAAAAAAATATTCAAAAATACTTAAAAGAGTGTGCTCCACAGCCAAGTCTTTGCATTTGAGCAACAAAATTAAGACGGCTTCTAATAAAATTAAAATGACATGGAGTTAATAGCGAAACTGGTAAGATCAACTCTCGCAATTCAAACTACCGGTTAAGTGTTAGCAACAAATTAACTGATTCGGATCAGGACGTTGCAATGGTTTTTGAGAAATATTTTACTGATATTCCGATATTAACCACTAAGTCACTGGATTCTTCTCCTGCTGTCGCCGAATCATTACTTAAACAAAATGTAAATGCGTGTACAAACAATTTTACATTTCATAAAATAGATATAATCGCGCCTCATTTAGCTATTTTTTTTAATACTAGTATCAAATCTGGTGTGTTTCCTGATTTAATGAAGCATAGTAAAGTAATACCTTTATTTAAATCTGGTAGTACATTAGACCCCGCCAATTTTAGACCTATTTCTGTACTAACAACACTTAATAGTAAGATTTTTGAAAAAAAAAATTCTTGATCAAATGTTAAATTTCTTTAATATAAATAATTTACTTCATAAAAATCAATTTGGTTTCACAAGGGGTCGCTCGACAACTGATGCTGGTGTTGAGCTGATTAAAAATATATCTTTAATGCCATTCACAGGATGCTTTGGGTATATTCTGTGACCTATCCAAGGTCTTCGATTGTGTTCGCCATGAAACATTAATCAGGAAACTTCAACACTACGGTGTAAGAAATGATGATATTAAATTAATTATTTCATATTTAAGTAAGAGAACGCAAAAAGTTGTCTTTAACAGTATGAGCTCTTTTGGGTCGATGGTACAAATGGGCGTGCCTCAAGGCTCAATCCCCGGCCCCTTTCTGTTTCTTGTATACATTAATGACTTAGTAGGGGATAACCATAATATAGCAGATGACACTTCTTTAATTTTCAAATTAAGTCGACAATTACTAAAATATGACGAAGTAAATAATGCTATATCTAAATTAGTAAATTGGCCCAATATTAATAATTTGCATTTAAATGGCACGAAAATGAAATGTATGAAATTCATGACTGCAAATGTCAAACAATTAAATACTAATGTAATTTTAAATGGGGAGAAACTGAGTCTTGAATATAATATACATATGTCAAAACTAGCAAGCAGACTTAGTTCTGCAGCATATGCTGTAAAAAAGATTAGAAGTCTTACTAGTGTTGAAACAGCTAGACTAGTTAACTTTAGCTATTTCCATAGTACAATGTCGTATGGTATTTTGCTACGGGGACACGCAGCTGACACTGAAATTATATTTGTTTTACAGAAGACGATAAGAGCAATTCATGATTTTTTTTTATAGGATAGGGTAACAAACGAGCACACAGTCCACCTGATGGTAAGTGGTTGCTGTGGCCCATAGACATCTTCATCTATCCTCGTTTGCGAATCAAAATTCAGATGCGCTGTCACCCATGAGGACTAAGATGGAATGCCTCTTTTCCAGTAAAAAGGGTATTTAAAGCCTAAAGAGTCGCTGCAACAAAAATTTAAGGAAATTAATATAATTCTGTAAATACTAGGAACAGACACAAGCTAGTAGTACCAGTTACTCGACTCCATCGAATCAGTAATTCATTCTTGGGGCGATGTATACGGTTTTACAACAAAATTCAAGAAAATATACGAAAGTAGCTGGCCAGGCAGACGTTGTTCTGCCCTTTTCAAAGAGTCTTCCTATAAAAAATTCTTAAAATCGCTATAAAAATATTGAGGGTCACTTATCGGGATAAAAACTATCCTATCTCTCAAGTTGGACCAAACTGCACACAGTTTAAAAAACTTCATTCAAATCAGTTCAGTAGTTTAGGAGTTCATCGCGGACAAACAACGTGACACCTAATTTTTTATATATAAAGATTTAACCTGCTCAAAGTTCAAAAACTTTATTAAACTAAGTTTGTAAAAAAAGGGTTATTATAATAAATATTAAAGAATTTAGGAATGATAATAACCCCTGGAAATGAGGTGATCGCTACCAAGCTATTTCTAATTTGTTGTATTGTTAAATTGTGTAACATACATGATTGTAAGCTGTTATTAAAAAAAAGTCCCGTTGGGTGTCTTGCTTGTTCTTCCCAGGACAGAGGATTTTTTTTCGAACCAGTCATAATTAAACAAAAGAGTGACTTTCAATAAGTATTATTTATAATCTATATTGAATAAAAAAGTTTCTATTTCTGTTTCTGTTTATTATGACAGACCTCGCGAGAAATCAACCCTTTTTAAAACGCTTTTTTTTCTTTCGTTACTTACGTCCTCTTAGCCGGGGGTTTTTTAAATTTTTATTTAATCCTTTTTCGAATACAACTTTTATATCCGCCGTGGGTTTTTCAAAATATTTAATATTGCATTTTATTTTAGACTTTTCAGAGAATCCCTGTGTCACTGACTAAATATTTGTATAACTTTCTATCTACTCAACAATTTACGAGTGGAAGATCTGAGTGTGGAACAGTATCAGTTATTTCCGTTGAGTCCTCAACCGCTATGCGGTTGCGTTCTGCAAATCGAGTGTGAGTGGCACCATAGTCCGGATCAGACAATGATCCAATGAGCCAAGAGGGGCGTCGACGGAGACCTGATATCCCCCCGGAACCTCGGATGAGAGGTCAGCAGAAGATCCAACAGGGAAGGTTCAAGATCCTCCACATCTAGAATCCGCGTAGGCGAAGTAATTTGTGTCGGGCCATATGCCAAGGCAAAGTCATAAACAGATCTTCCTGCATGATCGGTTAAACGAGGATCAAGCCATTCAGCGTGGTGGCCGTTAAAATCACCAAGGATCACGATCTCTGCAGACGGGACCTGTTGTAGCACGGAGTCTGCAGCGATTGGGACGTGGTCGATGAATTGGTCTGTGTCGGCATTACCTATAGAGGCACCCGTAGACGCGAGGATGGTCGTCGCTGACCTTAAAGACTGCCGAGGCGTCGAGAACAGATGCCCCTCTGATGTATACGCAAACTCCAGTAGATAGGAGAGAAGTATTGACCGGAGAGGACACCTGCGTCTCGCTTAGAAAGAGCAAGGTCGGCTTCGCCATCTTCAGATGGTGCCTAGTGGACTTTGTTAACATTCGAATGAAATTCCCTGATGTTGCAGAAATTCACGGATAGCGTGGCAGGGGCCACCTTTATCTTATTGCTCTACTTAACAAGAGCAGTATTAGTCTTGTGCGAATTTAACCCCCGCTCCCCCACTCCCCAGTATACGTGAGGCAGCCTGAGCACACGCGCTAAGGAAGAGTAGGGTAGCTTGGGCGTGAATGCTGAGCAAGGGATTCCCCAATACCAGGGCTGCTGGTACCCTCCTGGAATGGTTACTTATTTAATTACGAGTACACTACTATTTTGCTATTTTTTATACTATTTTTGGGCGGAGAGGGCTTAGGCCTCCGACCACCTGCACTTACCAGGCGAAGTAAACTTCTACTTCACGCTGTGTGTCTGTAAGGTCGTGGTACCTCCTTGGTTCGAGCCGGTCCACCCATTCATTACAGCTCTTCATTTCATGTCTCACCAGGTTGCCACTCCATCTAATCTAGACCACCCGTGCGACACCAAAAACTGCCTTGTGGCTCTTCCACTGTTATGTTGTCTGCCTATATTATTAACTGTAATCTACTTCGTTATACATAAACGCATAAACAATGCGTTATACATGATACTTAGTAGTAAGTAGCTTTGCTTTGTTATGCCCTACAGTGGGCGACAAGGCGCTGATGATGAAGTAGTTTTGCATCTTTAAAGTATTTAGTTTAGTTTAAATTATTCCAATTTCATTTTTGCCGCGCTAGTGGTCACAGAAACTTGACCGTCGCAGTTCTGAAGTTTTAATTCAAAACAGCACATTTTCTTAGGCGTATTACTTACTTATTATAAATGCATTTTTCTTTAAACTTTCAGTTAGCGCTTGCTAAATGGGCACCTCCGTTAGTCTCTCTGCAATGGCGCTGGGAATCAGCAAAATGGGACAGGAAGCAGTTGAGAGCCCACTGCGAGCCCACCAAAGAGTTTTGGCTGCGTCGTAATTAACGAAAATATGAGACAATATCACCCATAAAAATATATATTGAGAAATTAACTCATCTACATTAACATACATTTATTATAGTTCTTAAATTAGGTTTAATGTTAGTTATTTTGTATGTTTGTAAGTTTTTAAACCTACAATATTACTTTATACGTTGTTGTACAATTACATATTTTACTAGTAATTTATTGCAATTGTAATTTATTCTTTGCTATAATAAATATTATAATATGTGTCTTTATTATTGTGTTAATTATTCATTGAAATATAGTTTAAAATGAAGAATTTAAATTTTATTATAGAATAACTTTTCTCCCCGCGGTGTTACCGGCGTTCAATTAGTAACGTACAGACAGTCCCACCCTTATTACGAGATGGCAAAATACGGAGAACTCAAGCCATCACATGAACCATTCTCAGAGTAAAATGATGTTAGACTAAGGCCTGTAGAATGGTGAAAACCGATTTAACTGAAATCTTTCTTTTCGTACTCCAGTACATTTATCCTCCATCTTCAATAAATAATTTTCTGTTACAGTTATGCGCTTGTGGAAATCCTTGCTTCCGCGTACTTATGTATATAGAGGTCAGTGTTGCCTCCACATAATTGTTGTGCTCATTCCGTTTTTTTCCTTCCAAAATCTATTCAAAGCTTATTACTTGGAATTCTATATTTCCCATCATACTTCCCGTCCTTTCTTGTATGTACGAGTACCTATCTTATTTTACTCAACATACGACTCTTAGTTAGGTATTGAATTTTCCAAAATCCTTTATTATTACGTAGGCACGTAATAAAAGGAACCTATAACAGAAAAATGTCTAGTACATATCAAAGGGTCAAGATTTCAAACCTGTATGTGGATTAATTTAAAAGGAAACTTATGTTTTTAATTAGTTTTCTCAGCTACCCTTGTTCGAGCTTTATGGTCAGCCCATTTCCACTTCAGCTTATTGATCAGTTGGTCTACGTCAGTTACTTCGGTTCTGCTGCGGATATCATTATCACGAATCCTTTCACGCTGGGAAACTCCAAGCATAGCCTTCTTTATAGTTGACTAAGCGACCTGACGCTACCTCCTACGGCCAGCAGTGAAGGACCACGTATGAAATTCATATAGGTATGTCAGCACGCAGTACACACCAGTAAAGCATTGTACCAAAGAGAATATAACCACTACGTTTACATTGTACAAAGTTGACGCCATAGATTATATACTAATTGTACAGTGTCACTAAATACAAAATTTTGACACTAAAATCAAAGAGTATGAGTATATAATCTACGTTTTAAAAGTTATATAGAGTAATATCATTTTACTCTATATGTCAAAACTGTGTTAAAAAATGACACATGGCGGTAATCTATGATGTAATCGCATTAACCTATATCTAAATATAAACTAAATAATTTTTGACGCGTTTATTTTATACCACATTATTTATTATTTTTAACTTATTTATAAACATTTTTCCCATCATACATAATGGATGCACAAAAGCAACATATTCAATCGATGATATTTGACTACGCAACCACCACAAACACAGATTTTAGAAAGCACCACATCAGGCCTACTGTGAAATCAAACTATAAAGACAAAAATTTATCAAGAAAGAAAAGAAAATCACCTGTTAAATATGTTCATACAATGACGGATTGGAAAAACGTTTCAATGCCTTTTGATTTATGGATCGAACAAAAACAGATCGTTCGTACAAATCCTCATCATGTACAAGAGCCTTATGTAAGTATTTAACGCCTTTAAAATTACGGTGGAAGAAAACCCATTGTACCATCTGTAATGGCAGAGCCATGCTGCAGCTATATTATGGTTATAGCACGAATGAGTCCGCTTGACCGGGGGAGGACCACGTTGAGAATATCAGGGTAAAATATTTATTTATTTAATTTAATTACACGGAATTTATCCAATTACAATAATTAAATAATAATAATTTCATACATTATAAATAATAACTAACATAATCATTTATACACATAACGCCTAATAGGAATTTACAATAATAATACTCAATACAAAAATAATACGATAATACAATTTACAATGTCAATTTTACTTAATTATACTCTCACACAGTTTTCACAAAATTTCAAGCATTCTTCCATAACCACTCTCCATTCATCCGCAAATATGTCACAGCTGAGATTTTGGTCCAGTAGAGCATTTAGCGCGGTTAATATTCGCGGAATGGGGGAAAACGCGCGTGCGACTGTTCGGCACATTGGCTCTAAAAACAACTTATGCCTTCTGCCGCGACAGTAGTTGTTGGGTACGTTAAATCGGCACAGCTCATCATGGAGATCCGGTGAGTCCATTCTGCCTCGGAGAACCTTACACATGGTCGTTATTTGGCCATTTGCTCTTCTCACTTCGAGAGAGTTATAACCCAAGCAACCTAAAAGAAACGATGTCGGGTACAAATACGGATAGTAACCATTCACTCTCTTATAAAGGAATCGAAGAAAAGCTTTTTGAACTTTCTCTAACATCAGACTGTATCTATCCTCATTAGGGCGCCACACGCAAGAGCTAGTCTCCAGTTTACTTCTGACCAAGGCATCAAAGATCAGCCTCACTACCCAATCACCTCGGAACAGGACTCGGAAACGTTATTAAAAATAACGTTTTTAAAACGTTTGGGAGGGTTCCTTATATAATATTTTGTTCGGAACAAAAACGAAATGAGAACGTAATGTGAAAACGTCAAAAACGGTTTATTCCGCAGCAAGCTAAATGAATGGCACGTGCCACGACAAGTTTAAACCTAAAACGAAACAAATAAGTTTTTAGGTATTTAAGGCGAAAACGGTTCGAAAATATACCGTTATCCGAGCCCTGCCTTGGAAATCCCGAGAGTTCATTAATACAAAACGACTCTTTAGCTAGTGTTGCAATATGGTCGTGAAATGTAAGTCCTCGATCAAATGACACACCCAGATCTTTGACAGTTGTAGATCTAGTTATATCCTTGCCGTTTAACCTATACTGAAAGTCAATCGGACTCAGTGTTCGGTAAAAACTTAAGGACTCACACTTGGAAAGATTGAATTCCATTTCATTTTCACGACCCCACTCATACACCAAATCGATATCTCGCTGGAGCAACACGCAATCATTCACGGATTCAATTTTTGAAAACAATTTCAAGTCATCGGCATACAGAAGGCATATAGCATGTCTGACGATATCCGGAAGATCGTTAATCATTAAAATGAACAAGAGAGGTCCAAGAACTGAAACCTGACTAACTCCAGAACGCGTGTGATATTGATGAGAATCATATATACCCAACCGTACGAATTGTTGACGGTCTCGAAGATAGTCTGCAAGCAACCTGAGAAGTTTAGGCGCAAATCCCAGAGAACTAAGCTTCACGAGCAGCACGTCGTTATTGACTCTATCAAAGGTTTTGCGAAAGTCGAAGTATAACACGTCTACTTGAGTTCGACGGTCTAATTGTGCCGAGATGTAGTCAACGACTGACAGTAAGTTGGTGTTAACCTATCTACCGTTCCTAAATCCGTGCTGCTCATTGCATAAATACCGTTTAACCTGTCTATATATTTCTTTATGGAGTGTATTTGCAAACACTTTAGCTGGTGAAGAAAGTATGGCAATAGTTCTATATTCTTCAACGGATAACTTATTCGAACTTTTGAGAATAGGCGTAAGCCTGGAGAGTTTCCATCGCGAAGGATAGGTCCCGGTAGCCAGTGCTGTGTTGAAAATATGACAAAGCAGGCAGGTGGACTAGAAAATCCTTGCACTGCTTTACCAGCCATGGAGGAAGTCAGGCCCAATTGTACTAGCAGGTTTAAGTTTTCTTATTGCAGAGGCTACATCATTCGGAGTTAATCTTAAAATATTAACATATTTGCTCGTACGTGTGCAATCTTGTTGGTTAACATTATAAGCTTCAAGTTGTGGTACGTCTGTTGAGAAAACACTAGAGAAAAAAAGTCAGCAAAGATATCAGCAGCATCGACACCCCAATATATTATGTCGTTACTGTTTATGCCCAACCGAGTTGAATCCGTCGATTGACCTCTCGGTCGAAGTTGGACTTACCTAGTCGGACTATTTGTCCCAGGTAAACATACTCGTCAACAACTTCGAGCTTAGTGTTCCCAACAACTACCGGCATAGGTGTGACATGGACATTAAACATGATCTTTGTTTTGTCCATGTTCATCTTAAGACCTATCCGTTGGGAAGCACTATTGAGGTCATTGAGCATAGTGCTTAGGTCCTCCAGCGATTCTGCCATAAGGACTATATCGTCGGCAAATCGAAGGTGAGTGATGTACTCGCCATTGATGTTGATACCGTATCCTTTCTAGTCCAGAAGCTTGAAAACATCTTCCAATGCAGCGGTAAAGAGTTTCGGGGATATAACGTCACCCTGTCTTACACCTCTCTGCAATTGGATAGGTTTCGTACTCTGGTTCTGTACTCGGATAGCCATCGTAGCCCTACTGTACAAGCACTTCAACACTTCGATATACCGGCAGTCAACTTGGCACCGCTGAAGGGACTGCAGCACCGCCCAAATTTCGACGGAATCAAAGGCTTTCTCATAGTCCACATACGCCAGACATAGTGGCAAATTGTACTCCTCGGACTTCTGTACAATTTGCCGAAGGGTATATATGTGATCTATGGTGCTAAAGCCTTTTCGGAAACCGGCTTGTTCGGGAGGCTGGAAGTCGTCAAGTCTGCGCGCGAGACGATTCGTAATGACTCTCGAAAACAGCACGTAGACGCGGCTCAGAAGGGAAATCGGTCTGTAGTTCTTCAAGAGAGCGTTGTCGCCTTTCTTGAAGAACAAGACCACCGCACTTCTGCTCCACGCCTCCGGTGTAATGCCACTACGGAGGACGGAATTAAAAAGCTTCTGAAGGACTTCAAGTACCGGTTTTCCACCCGCTTTCAGAAGCTCCGCTGTGATTCCATCCTCGCCTGGGGCCTTGCCGTTTTTAAGGTGCTGGAGAGCCATTCTAATCCCGCTCAGACTAACGTCCGGGATATCATTGGAATAATGTCGGATAAGACTCGTTCTTGGATCGTTACTCACACTCGCATGTGGCTCCAACGATGACGTGTACAGCTGCCCATAGAACTTCTCAATCTCACTCAAAATCTCAGGTGCCCCGGAAACGATGCTGCCACATTCGGTCTTCAGCTTTGACAGTTGGCTCTTTCTGGCAGACAGATCTCTGGCAAAGACTTTGGAGCCTTGGTTCCGCTCGATCGCTTCTTCAATACGAGCTGTATTGAAGTTGCGTAAGTCCCGCCGCATGCATTTGGAGATCTGTCTGTTCAGTTGCCTGTATGCTGTCAAATCTGTTGAAGAATGTAGCTTCATCTCCCGTCTAACAGCCATGAGATTAAGAGTGTGATCGGAGAGTTTTTGTGTTCTTCTGCGGCGGGTCTTGCAGAACTTAGCTCCGACCGCATGGACAGTTTCCACGAGCTTGTCATTCAAATCGTCCACTTCATTGCAGTCTTCTAGGCACTGAAAACGGTTTTGTAACTCGAGCTGAAAGGTTTCGGGACTTTGGATTAGAGCACGAGGAGACAGAGCGTTGACTTTATTAGACGAGACCTCTCCAACTTAACGTTTAGGTTCAGTGTGCCTCTAACCATTCGGTGATCGCTGTCGGTTTTCACCCTCGCGATCATTGAGACATCACTGAACAGTTGTCGTCTGGTCGTCATAATGAAGTCAATCTCATTTTTTGTCGAACCGTCGGGGCTCGAACAGGTCCACTTCCTATGGGGCCACTTCTGGAAGAAAGAGTTCATCATAAAGAGTCCCTCTTTCTCCATGAAGTCGGCCAGCTGGTGGCCCCTTGGGTTCCGTTGCCCTATGTCAAATTTCCCCACTTTCAGCTCACCGTTCTCTCTTGTGCCTAGTTTTGCATTAAAGTCTCCCATTAACACCGTATATTGGGTTTTGGAGGAATGCATGGCTCTAGAGATATCCTCATACATTTCCTCCACCTCCTGATCGGGGTGTGCCGAGGTTGGTGCGTAAACCTGTATGACCTTCAGCGAATACCGTTTGGTGATTCTGAGTATAAGGTACGCAACGTTGTTAACGAGAGACTTGTGGACGATAAATCCGACACCTCCTTGGGACAGATGGTCGCCCTCCCGGTAATATAGCAAGTTGCCGGATTCGAGGATTACCGTTTCCTCCCCCTCTCTTCGGACTTCGGACAATCCTATAATATTACGCTGCAAGTTACGCTGGCATATGCCAGTGTAACTTGTTCTTTTCTTCCAGCTCCACAATGTTCTCGTCAGTCCTCAGGGTGCGTGCGTTGTATGTTGCCAGGTCGAGTCGTCGTAGGTGGCAACCGAACCTCCACCGGAGATTCTTAGCACCACCTGCCCCGCCGTTACCATGGTCGCCACCGTAGCCAGGAATAGCGGGGCCGCCGGGGACTGGGGGCCGTCTCTTTGTAACTTTCATCATGGGGGGTATATTGCCATAGTTGCCACGCTTGGCGAGCGGGTTGGCAACCGCAGTTTTTTATTGTATTCTTGCCGTTACCAGAAAGATGCTGCTGCCCATCTCCTGCCTGTTTCCCTTTGTCGCCTTTTACGGCACCCACGGGAAGATATGGGGTGGTGGATATTCTTAACCGCCACTACACGGCAAAGCGTTCGGGAAATTACGGCACATCTTCTCGTCAGGTATACCTCAAAACTTGAAAACGAGACTGTACACCCAGTGCGTGTTGCCAGTAATGACATACGGAACTGAGACGTGGTCCTTCACTGCTGGCCGGATGAGGAAGCTCAAGGTCGCTCAGCGAGCTATGGAGAGGGCTATGCTCGGAGTTTCTCTGCGTGATAAACTCAGAAATGAGGATATCCGCAGTAGAACCAGAGGGACCGACATAGCCCAACGGATTAGTAAGCTGAAGTGGCAATGGGCCGGCCATATAGCTCGAAGAACCGACAACCGATGGGGAAGAAATGTTCTTAAGTGGCAGCCTCGTACCGGCAGGTGAAGTGTAGGGCATCCCCCCACTAGATGGAGTGACGACCTGGTAAGATATGCAGGAAGTCGATGGATGCAGGTGGGTCAGGACCGTGTTTTTTGGCATTCTTTGGGGGAGGCCTATGTTCAGCAGTGGACTTGTGAAGGGCTGTAATGATGATGATGATGAGGATGACTGTTTATGCATGATTGGAATTCGCCCTTAGAATGGAGACTCGATATGTGCCGCCAGAAGTTACGGGGGTTAGATGTAATGTCTTTCTCAATAGCATTAAGGTACGTACTGTGGGCGCTCGCAATACGTATCCTCAACGAAGCCCTTAGGTGTGAAAAGGCTTAGTATGTAAATTCACAATTGGTTTTTCTCCACTGCGAGTGTAGTTTCAGCTTGCGTCTGATATCTTCAATAATATCGTGAGAAAACCACACAGGATATGTACTGTTTATTAAAAAATTTATTACGCTTTTTTTAGGAATACAAATGTCAAAGATATTATACTCGTATATTATGTCATAAAATAATTCAGTGCATAAATGTACATCATGCAAATTTGTAATATCACTCCATGGGGCTTGAGAAACCAAGTCGTATAAAAGAGTATAATCACCCTTGCAAAAGTTCCAGTCTTTACTGTAGTCGATGTTACTAGCCTCAATGTGACTTCGATGACGAGCTGCGTCGATTGCTATAATCTCTAGTGGAGGATGATAAGAGTCAGGTGGAACAATACCATCAAAACCTTTAACGCACGTTTCACCCATGTTTTCACTCTCCTGGACCAGGACTACATCTAACATTCCTCCTTTCATGTTCTTCACGTTATTCGTTTCTTTAAGTTTACAAAACGATAAAAAAATAAGAGTAATAGTTTTAATATTCACAGAACAACTATTAAGATTAATGTCACCTAAAATAATAAGAGATTCTTTGGTATTACTGATAAAACTCTCTACCTTACAAAAGAAACTCATGTAGTCGTTATCCCTTGCACTAGGTTTAATATAAACAACACACACAAGAAATTTGCGTCCGTTGCACTGTAAACTAGCCCATAAATCTTCACCGGAAGCAGTTTCTAGAGGTTTCTGACGATTAAGTACTGCCGGAGCCCGTGCAGCTAGTAGAATTCCACCACAAGGGGTGAAACTAAAAAAAAACAAGTATGAGGAGGTTTTTTAATACAATGGCTTATGTCAACGTTGGATCCATGTTTAGGTCCTCGAGTCCGAGAGCTGCAACATTCGAAAAGGCGAAATAAAAAATTTGCCATATTATGAGCTTCATTTAATAGTCTATTTGTAGATGATAATATATTATATTCCAAAAAACGATAAAAGAAACTAGCCCTGGTAGCTCTGACTCACGATTTGCTAAACCAAATTACTTAATCGCTATACGTAACGTATGACACGTATTTTTTTTTTATAGGATAAGGGTGACAAACGAGCACACAGTCCACCTGATGGTAAGTGGTTGCTGCGGGCCATAGACATCTACATCTGTCCTCGCTTGCGAATCAAAATGCAGATGCGTTGCCACCCGTGAGGGCTAAGATGGAATGCCTCATTTCCAGTAAAAAGGGCCTCTGGCCACCTGCACTCACCAAACGAAACGCAGAGGTAAACCTCTACTTCACGCTGGTATTCTGTGAGGTCGTGGTACCACCCCGGTTCGAGCCGGCCCATCCGTGCGACAGCAAAAGCTGCCGCGTTACCTACCACTCTACCACTGTTAGAATTGTAATTATCGATAATTATATAATTTTACCATCATATTAGTATTTTCTTTTATCGATTTTAATGCAAACGGCGCGCACTAGGTACCTAACTCACTGTTTTTCTTCTTTGTATTCTGCAGGAAACTATCTCTTAAGATATGTTAGTATAGCATAAGTTCTAAATAATATTTGTAGTATTTAAAAAAGTCACATATAAAATTATTTATCTTCTTTAAATTTGTATGTTTTTAGGAGAAGCCTCCTGATTTAGAAATAGACAAAATTAGGATGACAAGACCGCGTCTTGTCATGACTCCAGCAGTTAGCATTGACGACGTTGAAGATCTAGAGTAAGCTATAGCGTAATTTTGATACATTCCCATGCTTGACGGTTAATAGAAAGTGATTATAGGATCCTACATATTAATGATGAATTAGGATGTGTTCTACCAATCCAGGCTGAGATTGCGTGTTATGCTTTTTCATGCTCCATTATGCTCTCAAAAATGAGAACAGAATTGGTACATATGTTTATAGGCTTCTATTTTTCTTTACTTTAAAAAAATTATAAAAAGTGGCGTGAAATAAAATATACAAAAAGGCTTAAAATGTTTACAACTTAACACTTTTTAAATCTTCTAAGCCACATATTGAATTTTTACCTAGTAATGATTCTAATCAGTCTGCCTGATAGTAGATAAGTGGATGACAGCATCCAGGGCCATAGATACCCGTAGTGAGGGCGTTCCCTTTCTGTGAGAACGTCTTCACTATCAGAACGGCATTCCGAGGTGGAATTTTTCAATTGACTTTTTTGTAGCGAACTGAATTGATCAATGACCGCCCGGCCAAGGAGCTAAGAGATCACTAGTAAGTACTTGGCTGCCACTGGTAAGTACTTGGCTAGCAAGTCACAGGATCTCAAACACAAATTGTTAGTTGTGAGCTTGTTTTGTGATTTTCACAGTCTCTCTGGCATTGCACCCAAACTTACTTCCGATTTAAGCGCCTTATACGTCTCTGAGCCTAGGGATAGCCTCAGAGAGGAATTAGTGTACCAGAAATTACTATAAACATAATATGTACAAGAATAAATTATGCACGTAAAATCTAATTTATAAAAGCACTCAGCAATATGTTTTTGTCTAAACTATTTTAGGAAGCGCAAGCTGCTTTTGCAAGACATGTACACCACGAATGTCACGAAAGAATTCGGCATGAAGTGCGCATTATCAACCGTTAGATCGCCGTTACGGGGGAAATATGCCCCAGCGAACCCGGTGACTATTTACTTCATTATCAGTTTGACCATCTTTAAAATACAGATCCTGCCTTACTCTGGTTAAAAATCTGCCAAATCCTGCCAAAGTCTGTAGTGAACAATGCCTAAATACTGCCAACTTTATTTACCATTGTCTAATTCTATTAAAGTAAAAAAAGTAAAAATACACATTTAAATGCTATAGTTTTATTAAATAAAAATTAAACATCTTTTTTTGGTTGGAATGCAATGCAATCGCCATGCTCACCAATGCCTTATTTAACGTGCAAGATAGACGCTATATGTTTGTTTATATCTGAATCTGTTTCGTGTTTTTGTTTTAATTAGATTTATTTGACAGAATATTCTATCGCATGTTGAATCCAAACATATTTTTGAAACGAAGTTTCTTATCGGACGGTACGAATTTGACGGATGGGGACTAAGCGAGAAAAAGTGTAAGATCTTTTCAGTCACGACCCCTTCTGACGTAGTGTAGACGGCCTTGCGAGAAAGGAGATGAAATGATATCCATCTCCCTCGCACTTTTTATTATTTTGCCATCAAAGAAATATTATTTTATTTTAAATGATGCTTCATTGTAAGACGCTAATAATTTATTTATTTGTATTTGTTAATGAATAATATAATGCGTTTATCAATATTAATACACTACGAAAGGAACTTCGTTCCAATCGAGTTTTTTACGACACTCACGGATGTTTTTTTTTTATGTTTACTAGCAGCGGCATGCTCCTTTAAAGCAGACAGCCGGAATGCCAATTTGGATCTAATTATCTTTAGCTTTGAAGATCCACGATGAAAGTAAAGGACCTTACTCCAGTCCACTTTATTATACGGCCTATCATATTTTCGCTTTATCATCACCACCAATAATTACTATCGTCCACGAAACATCACTAACAAAATATCACTAACAAGATATTGTCACCACAAAATCTAATGCGATAACAAACTAAAGTACGTCTCTTCTATAACTGATTGAAATATTAACCATTAACTCGTGTTTACGAATGCTCGTTTTAAGATCATCAACTTTACACACATTCTTTTAATGTTGTTTATTGAATATGTTACAAACATAACACTAGAAGTACAGGGAAATCCCCCACATGCTGGCGAAGTACATAGGGTTGCCATTTTCGGCATTTTTAAGTTGCCATAATGAAATCTATTTTAATACCCGAATACTGCGAAATACTGCCAGGTTTTGTAAAACATCAACCAATCATGCCAGAGGCTAAAATAAGAGGCCAATCCTGCCAAAATGGCATGAAACTGCCACATATGGTCACACTGTTCATTATTTAAATGAGCGCATCCACGAATTTTTCTGTCACCAGGGCGGCGCCACTAGAAAGTGAGGTAGAATGTATGATAATACATAAAAAAAATAATAGAGTGAAGTATTTGATAGATTTCATAGGGGGGAAGTTAATTTGTTCGGAAAATGTAAAGGTTAATGTTTTTTTCTACACTATTAGATATATTTTATTATAATATTTATTATATTTTATTATTTAATAAGATTAAAAATAAATAAACCAAACCACAGATATTCATAAAAGTAGAAAAATTAAAAAAATGTTAAAAATGTGCAAAACAATAAAAGAGCAAACCACTGACGCATTGTTTTGTGTATTAATTTAATACTCTAGAAACTAATAAACTTTTATTAAAAACCAACTTCTCAATTAAATTACAGCGTGTAGAAAAAAACTTTACCTCAGTGTCAGCTAGCGACATCTGGTGAGCAAAAAATTATTATTCCCTCATTACGTTAACGTAAATTTCAATTAAGTTTTGTAAAATTTTTTTAAAGAAAACGAGACTCCACATTTGAATTTTCAACCAACTTCAATAAAATGAGGAGTTTCCCAATTCGACTATATTTTTTATGCGTTACCTAAGAACGTTTTTTCTAGGTGAACCGATTTTGATAATTATTTTTTGAAAGCTGTTGCTTTCATGTGTTAACATATAAATTTGATCAAGATCTGACCAATATTTTTTGAGTTATCCTTAATAATGCGTATTTAATTGACTTCAACTACATTGATGATGTTCTCATTTGATTTATATTGAAGTCGGTTGTACAAAATTTTTAATTTTACCACTTGTTTCTTGTATCGTGGAGGCATTATACATATATAGATGCCCGGAAGAGTTATTTGTAGGTTATTGTACCTAAGCCATATGAACACTTTTGTGTGCAAGATTCGAACGCGCGGTCGACTGCTGCTTACTGCTGCCACCGAGCCGCCGAGTTTCATATAAATGTTTCGGAGTAAAAGTTCAGAATCTGAGGGTGAACGGTAATTTTAGAAGTCAGATTTTATGGCGTCTTATATTTGAAGGCGTCTTAAAAGAGTGACGCTAGGAAAGTCTTACGGAAACCATCAGAGTAACCATTTTAAACGTAACAAAACTATATAATCAGTTTAGACTAATAACAGTGTTGCGTGTGTTGAGCTAAATCTTCTCAACCAGGGAGCTCGTATGTCCAGCTCTGATCTAATCTAATAAAGACTGAACAACGTGTACATAATGATTTCTTATATTTACGCGAACACTACACATTGAATAAAACTATTTTTACGGATTTTATCGCGTTTAATTAACTTATTTTATATTCCCGACGTTTCGGTTGCTTTCCAGCAACCGTGGTCACGGGGACTGAGGTGATTGACGTCCCGATGTCAAAGTTAACCCGGAGTACCTTCAGCTTTTTAATTATTAATTTTGGTCCGATCTACGCAGAATGAACTAACTGTGTCTTGAAGTCTTACAGTGGTATGCTTGGGTTTAGTTTTAATTTTATGAATTACAGGATCCCAAGCAGGTGGTAGTACCCAGCCTCCCTCTCTATTGAAATTAGGATGTTTTTTATTTCAATAGCCTCACGTATCATCCTTGGCATCCTTTACATCGATGTACATCGATTCCTGCCAAGGATGATACGTGTACATCGATGTACATCGATTCCTGCCAAGGATGATACGTGAGGCTATTGAAATAAAAAACATCCTAATTTCAATAGAGAGGGAGGCTGGGTACTACCACCTGCTTGGGATCCTGTAATTCATAAAATTAAAACTAAACCCAAGCATACCACTGTAAGACTTCAAGACACAGTTAGTTCATTCTGCGTAGATCGGACCAAAATTAATAATTAAAAAGCTGAAGGTACTCCGGGTTAACTTTGACATCGGGACGTCAATCACCTCAGTCCCCGTGACCACGGTTGCTGGAAAGCAACCGAAACGTCGGGAATATAAAATAAGTTAATTAAACGCGATAAAATCCGTAAAAATAGTTTTATTCAATGAACAACGTGTACCTAAATCTTGGCTTCGGTGTGAAGACGACATGATTTAAAATGTTAAATCTTATTTTTTGGACCACGTGATTAATCGGTGCATTATTTATAATGTGTATTTGCCATAGTTGCCACGCTTGGCAAGCGGGTTGGCAACTGGCAGATTGTTATTTTTAGTAGTTATTAGGAAGACGTTGCTGCCCATCTCCTGATTATGAATAATGCCCTATTAATCTCTTGGTCCATAACACATATACATTTTAATTTCACAGATACCGCTTCCGAAACTGACGCCGCCGTACGTGTCGCCGGAATGGCGCATGCAATCCACGTCGTGGGACCGGCAACAGACGCGCGCCTATTGCGACGCCACGCGAGTATTTTGGCTCAATAGAAACAGATAAAATTCAATTTTAAATTGTACTGTTGTAACAGCGGCAAATATATTTTTTTATTATTCTTAATTAAAAATTTATGCGATATCACAAATGCATTTTTTAAAACGTCGTCACCATTCCGAAATACATTTCTGCCACATGCAAATTTCGAACTACCGCGCATCGTAATATAGTGAACGTCAGTGTCACTGCTTAGACTGTGTGTCAACAAAGAACCGCGATTTTGGCCGACGCGACCCGCAGAGATGGTGTATGCAGTAAGCATGGGCGTTATCATTTTTTTATGATAGCGCTTATGAAGTTTTCATTTATTAACCGATTTGAACCTTTATTAAACGATATGAAGTTTTCATATCGATATCAAAAACCGTAATTAAATATCGATATGAAGCACAATTTGATTCGTTCGATCGTTTTTGCAGTTATAGCAGCCATGACAGATTGACTAACAACAGAGATTGAGATTGACGAATGTTTTTAAAACAGGATAAATTTTTAAGAAATCAGCACGCAAAATGATTTACGCAAAATGATATTTTATTTACGCAAAATGATGAACCCTTGACATTATGATCCTCACGCACGGTCAGTTAAACTGATCATTTCAAACGCATTTAATCCAAAACAAGTTCGACACACACGGTCAGTCCAACTGATCAGTTCAAACTAGGACTGTTGATATTTTTAAAATATAGGATTTTCATATATCGAAAACATAAGCGATATATCGATGCTTATTGCTTAAAAATGATTTACACAGTTTATAATTTAGTATGTTTATTAAAAAAATTAAATTATAAATGTATGATAATGTTAGGTTATAGTTCTTAGTAATTATTAATGAGCCGTGGTAGCTCCGACGGTTAGCGCTCGCTGTAAATTTCACAGTACGCGAGCAACCCGGGTTTGATCCCCGCCGGAACCAATGAAATTGTTAGTTGCAATTTTAAGTGCTGATTTACCACGTGCTCGGCGATGAAGATTTTTATACGTGGGTGGCTCGACCGGGGAAGGACCACGTTCTCACAGAATACCAACGTAAAATAGCAGCTTAACGCTGCTGTGTTTCGTATGGTGAGTGTAGAGAACCGGAGACCCTTTTTTACTGGAAACGAGGCATTCCATCTTAGTCCTCACGGGTGACATCGCATCTGCATTTTGATTCGTAATCGAAGATAGATGTAGATCTCTATGGGCCACAGTAACCGCTTACCATCAGGTGGACTGTGTGCTCGTTTGTCACCCTTATTCTATAAAAAAAGTAGGAAAACATGGTGAGGAAACCTGCATGTCTGAGAAATAAAATAAAAATTTTGAAAACGTTAAGTTCGCCAACACGCATTGGAGCATCGCGGCGGATGTTTACTTGCCCTAAAATCCTCTCAGAAATGAGGAGAGGCCTGTGCACAGCATTGAGACGTATATAGGCTAACTTTAACTTTAATTATTGTTTAAATTAAATAAGACAATTATGTTTACCAATATTTTTCAGTAAGAGTTTTCAAAAATACTCTTTGTTTTATATCTTCAGCTGTTTCAATACTGCGATTATTGGGCACTAAAAGGTTGATTGTAGAAGTAATTCGTTCAGATGCTACGGATGTAGCTGAAGAAATCAAATATTTAACAGCTGTTTCTGATAGAACGAAAGTAAAAAGTAAAAGACACCTAAGCGATCAAAATAACTTGAGCCTAATACCAACATCGAAGCACTTGTTGCGTCGTTTTCTCTAATATTTCATATGCGCAGACACTTAATACTGTGCGATTATGCATTACTTTCATAAAAATCCACTTCAAACGATTATTTATACGATAAAACAGGAGTAACCATCCGTCGATGGTCAAGTTCCTGCCAAAACTCACAGTAAATAAAGTAGTACTAAGTTTCATAGATTATAGTAATTTTTATGTCACAGAGATATACTATACAAATTTACATTTCTTTTTAAAACTAGCTGTTCCCCACGACTTCGACCATGTGTAATTTAGGGTTTTAATTATGTTGCGCGGAACCCTATTTCTTTTTCTAAAATATAAGTAGCCTAACTTACTCCTTATAACATCAGCTATCTGCCAGTGAAAGTCCCGTCGAAATCGATCCAGCCGTTTCGGAGATCAGTCGGAACAAACAGACACAGACAGACAGTCAAAAACTTTAAAAATTGTGTTTTGATCCTTTACCCACCTTCTGAGTCCACCATAAGAAAGGTGACATCATTACAATCACCTTGGTCTCCATCCTCTGTTAAACCAACTTCTCTAAATATATATGACGGCTCCGTGGCGCAGTGGCTTAGTAATGAGTTGCTGCGCTGGGGGACAAGTATTTATATGGCCTACAAATAATTGTTCCGGGTCTGGATGTTTGTCCTTGTGCAATTTGTGTTTGTAAACTGCCTGCACGATACAGGAGAAAATCCTAGTGGGGGTAACGTTTTTTTTAATAAAAAAATGTATAAAATAATATAAAATCTAAACAGCATACAAATAATGTTATAAAAAATTATAAAATATATATAAAAGCTACTAAGAAAGTATGTACTTACCAACAATGGAAACGAACTGAAGCCAGCGGATTACGGTGCGTCCGGAAAAATATGTGGATTGCCGTCAGTTAAAAATTTTAACTTAAGATTTCACATTCACGATCAGTTTTTGGATGTACGTCAGTTCAACGGAGCGTTTAACTGACAGAACGCCCGAATAAAATCCGTGTGTTGCCGTTACTTAAAAATGTCATCTTAAGATTTCACATTCACGGTTAGCTTTTGGATGTACGTCAGTTCAACTGAGCAGTTTAACTGACAGTACGCCCGAAAAAATCCGTGGATTGCCATCAGTTAAAAATTTCAACTTAAGATTTCATACTCACAATCAGTTTTTGGATATACGTCAGTTAAACTGTTCAGTTTAACTGACCGTGTGTGGGTACCATTAGACTTTGATGTTACAGTAAAGTTTAATTAAATACAACAACTTAAAGATCTGGTGTTGGCAATCAAACAGCTAATGATAAACGCACTCGATATTCGCTTTGTCTCGTTTCCACGACTGGCAGGGTCATGAGAGACGACGAATATCCAGTAGGTTGATAGTTACGTTGCTTCATAACGGAACGGAACGAAGCGGATTGTGTGGTTTTACGTTATGAGAAGTTACGTTAGCTGTGTCGCGTTTGGATTCACTTCGATTGAGCGTTATTGTTAAAACCGTTGTCTTTGTGCAACATATCGACACGATATGTTTTATTACATGTAGGTAACCGTTTTGAGTTACGTTTTGATATTATATCTAACTCATGCCTAGTATGCAGCTAAGACGTAGTGACCCGCGTCCCGCACCACCGCATTCAAATGTTAAGCAACTGTGGTATCGAGGCATCAAAACTCTTTCGTGATGGAGAATCTACTTTACGACTTCATCAAAGATGCTTTTCTTCTTTTTTTTATTGGCCTGTAAAAGTCCACAACTAGACGTGGGCCTCGCCCGTTTTAAGGAAGTTTTGCCTAATCGTCACGTTTGACAGGCGTATCGAAGACTGTAGTAATAATTGTCTTAGACGCTGCTGCTCATAGCCGGTCTGGGTATTGTAAGTGTGACATAAACGAAATTGTTCAAGAATTTTCTGGCATATGGAAAATGGCAGAAAAAGGGAAAGACTTTTTTTTTATAGGAGAGGGGTCAAACGAGCATGCGGCTCACCTGATGGTAAGTGACTACCGCCACCCATGAACAACTGCAACACCAGGGGAATTGCAGATGGGTTGACGGCCTTTTAAGACACACCCACGGGACGTAATGGGGCCACCCACCTGGTTTATGTCATAGTCAAAGGTCGGTATGCAGTTTCTTTCAGTTTTTTTCACCTGATGGTAAGTTACTACCGCCGCCCATGAACAACTGCAACACCAGGAGAACCCAGAAATTGCAGATGCGTTGCCGGCCTTTTAAAAAAGGAGTAGGCTCTTTTCTAATTATTTTCTAATAATTCGATCAAACGTCGATTCGTATTCATATGTGGCTAAAGATGGGACTCATACACAACGAATTGTCACAGTGGAGAGCAGTAAAAATTTTTTTAGAAAACAAAACTATAACAATTAACATTACATTGTTTCATTTACCAGTATCATAGCAGAGTTTAGGGCAACCTGACTTTATAGATAGTTAGGTCGAATATGATCTAAAACCAAACACCACGCCACGGCTCCACGTAGTCTTGTCTGCCCTACCTGTAGTGTTTTTGTAAAGCCGTAGGCACGGAGGGAGAGCAGCCTCCGCCCGCCGTAGCAAGTCGGGCTCACCTCCGCAGCTTTGGCTTATTGGTCGCCTTAGACAACCAGCTTCAGCCTCTACGTTTAGCACAGGTGCCTGCGATTTGCCACGCAAGGGCGAAGGGGCTGCAGGTCCCGCGGCGCCGAAGCCGTTGCCGAAGTAACTTTGGATCAATGTTCTTGTGCGGGACAAGAGAAAAACAAATAGTGATACATAAATAAGACAAAAACATTTATATTAATGGAATAAATATTATATAGTTAGTTTGTACTTAGATAGGATAAACATTTATATTAATAGAGATTATAGTTTAGATAGGATATAAGCATTTTATGTTAAGAAAATAATAGTGTAGAGCTTATATTTGTGTAATAAAATTAGTTGGTCACTTTGTATAACAGAACTAGCTTAAGGTAAACAATATAAACAATGACTCAGTAAGATATAGAACTAGCTTAAGACAAACAATGTAACGGGACTCAGCATCGTCACTTGCTCTGTCACGCCTCGCGCTGATTGGTCGACGCCATTTGTACGATGCGTCGGCCGTATCCATTGACCCAGCCCGAGGCGGTATAAAAGAGGGGCGATTTTCGTCGTTCGACACAGTCGGCGGCCAGCTACCTCAAGGAAAACACCAAATATAGAAGAAAGAAAAATATCACAGCGGTTTTATTCTCCACCAATCCAGCACACAAATGTGCCTGTAGGGCACATTTAATGGTCCT